GATGGATGGGATTTTGGGAAGGAATTGGGGAGGGTGGATGGACATTGGGGCTGGGAGCAGCCTGGGACAGTGGGAGGTGTCCCTGCCATGGCAGGGGTRGCACTGGRTRAYWTTTAAGGTCCTTCCAACCCAAACCATTCCATGGTTCTGTAAGATTTAACAAAAGCGGAATTGTGCATCTCCAGGCTTCATTTCCTGTTAAAACCATCAGCTCCCAATGATCCCACAGGTGTCAGCTCCACGTTCCCCAAACCCTTCAGCTCAGGATCAGCAGTTCTGGTGAATGTGTTGGTTTTCTATCCCAAACAAAGCCCAAGGACAATGAGCACTGGCTGGGCTGGGCTGTCCCTGCTGCGTTTGGCAGTGAAGGGCTGTGGGGTCAGATCTGAAGCACTGAACGCTGCATTTCTCTCTCCTTTAAGGTGCAGACACACCAGTGCCCCTCTGACCTGCAGGAGTGTCCCTGATCCCCAGTGTGGCAATGTCTGCCCTGTGGCTCTGTTCTCTGCTCACAGGCACTGAGTTTTCTCCCTGTTTGCAGCTGATCTGATTCCATCTCCCCTGGATTTCTCTGCAGATGCTGTTCGGAGCTGTGTGGCAAAGCTGTTCTTCAGCTGTGCCCTCAAGGGTCACTACTGCCTGTACAGCAAGTCCAGTTTCACCCTGGAGAGCCGGCAGCCCCCACTCTGGATCCACATCATGTTCCTGTTCCAGCAGGTCAGGGAGGGGACACGCCAGGGACACCCTCGGGCTGCTCAGGTGGCACCTGGCAAAGAGCATTTAATGGTGAAACTCCTTAAATACACCTCTAAYTCACGGGGATTTGTGACCCCTGTGAGCCCTCAGAAAATCTTTCCACTGGGCTGAAGTTATTTTGTGTTTTTTAATTTTTAATATTTCTATTAAATGCCCCAAATTCAGACTGGCTGGGCAGATTACAAAGTCTGGGGATAAAAAAGTGGGACCAAACCATATTGACCTCATCCAGGCAAAAATTCCAGCCAGTCCCAGGTGCCTTGGAAGCAGCCAGGAGCTGCAGTGGATTTTAGGGGAGCAGCACCAGCCCCAAGGCTGCAGGAGGAGGTCGAGGGGGCAGAACCCACTGGGGTTTTGCTGCAGAAGTTTGGACTGAGCAGGGTTTGTAAACCTGCTCCGTGCTGTTCTACCTGCCCTAAAGTGAATTTCCCATGTTCAATGCTGTTTCCAAGTACAGCCCAGGATTTGGACATATATGGAATGTCCTAACAGGTTACAAACAGTGTGAAACTCAGAGAACCCTCCATTCACACTTCAGGATGAAACAGGTGGGGTTTGAGCTAAAATACAATGTTCATTTTCCAAACCCGTGTAGAGCCTTTCACTGCAGTTCATCCCATCCTGAGGCAGCCTTGGAAACACCCAGATTTATCCCAAATGTGACCCAGGGAGGGATGCTGTGGATGCAACAGCCTGAATCGCTCTGCCCTGTGTGTTCCTAGAAATAAGTACTTTTCAAGAACATTGGTCAGTTAATTTAAAAAATATTAATGGAGAGTTCCACTGTGTTTCAAAACCCTTGGATGGAAATTGGGAAATTATTAGCGCAGGGCAGCGGGATTAGGTTTGATGGGTTTGCTCAGAAAGAGGAGACAGAAAGTCCATCCAGGAATCCCCTGTTCGACAGACATTGCCCATATTGTGAAATCACATAGCTGCAGTATGGAAAACCCGATTTGTTTGTGCACTCTTAGCTTGGCTCCCGCAGGCAAACACATTTTTTGATTTGGAGATCACACAGGAGAGGCACCGAGGTTCTGTCAGCCCCAGCGTGGCTGTGACCTGGGAGCAGCAAAGCAGAGCTGGTGCCAGGATCACTCAGGGCTGGATCCTCGGGCTCAGGGAGCTGGGAGGTGACAGCAGCCACAGGGAGCTGGGGAGGTGACAGCAACCACCCCAGCAGGGTTCACCTCGTCCTGTGGGTGCTCAGGTGTGAGAACTCCTGTGCTCTGTGCTGGGAATGTCCTGGGAGTTCTTCCCTCACACCCCACTGACCATCACAAACTCTGCTCCTGCTGCACSAGGACTGAGAGCTGAGGGAGCTCCAGGGGAGCACCCCAAAACCTGCAGGGCTGGGAGGGATCCCTTCTTTGGGCTGGGAAAGATCCCTTCCTTGGGCTGTGAGATCCCTTCCTGGGGCTGGGAATGCCAGGTTTCCCCGAGGGATGCACCTCTCCCAGATCTCTGGCTGGTTCAGGGAGGCCAGAGCTGCTCACGTGGAGATAAATGAACATTTCAGTACCAAACGTAGTTGTGGGGTGGTCACGGATGGGCAATCCTCGGTGAGCCACAGACCTCACAGACCTCAGAGATGTGGGATGTGCAATGAGAGTAAAAAACCCCAAAGGAAATGAGGAATTTGCTGTTGTATTAACAGTGAGCCTGTTGATCCATCAGAACTCCTTCCAGGGAGCAGGATAACCCCTGCCCTGTGAGGACACAGTGCTCTCTGTCCCTGTCACTGAGAGCCCTGGTGTGACTCTGGGTGTTCCTGCAGAGCCTGTTCACAGAGCCCCTGCCCACCCACAGCAGCTCAGTGCAGGCACTCAAAACGCTGTGGGAGAAGACACAGCTCAAGGGGACGCACAGCTTCGAGACTGCCATCATCCAGCACACCTTCCCCCAGCCCAAGGTAAGGATGGCTGAATTCAGCAGCACACCTTCCCCCAGCCCAAGGTAAGGATGGCTGTGTCACCTTCCCTCAGCCCAAGGTAAGGATGGCTGTGTCACCAGCACACCTTCCCTCAGCCCAGGGTAAGGGTGGCTGTGTCACCTTCCCTCAGCCCAAGGTAAGGATGGCAGTGCTCAGCCCAAAGTAAGGATGCTGTGCTCACACGGGGAGCTGCAGGAGTGCTGTGCTCTGTGCTCTGCAGTGACCCAGAGAGCCTTTGCTGTGCACAGAGCCCTCGGGGTGGTTTGTGCAGTGCTCTGGGAGAGCCCTGGGTTTGTTCTGCACCCTCCACTGAACTGATCCACACCATGAGAACCAGGGATGCTGCACGTGGGGTGTTCCTGCTCTCAGTGCCAAGCCCTGCACTCAGCCCTGGGGTGCTGGGCAGCCCTTGGGAGCTCACCCAGTTAAGCAGAGCCCTGGGTTTGATGAAATACTTATTTTTAAAACTTTTCCTCCAATCAAGGTGTGAAAGCATAGGAGGGAAGGGTAATAAATGCAGTATTTCACCTAAAAGTACACGTGAGGAATGAGTTTGCCAAAGGATGCGTTGCTAGAACAAAGTGTCAGCAGTCAGATTGTCACTGGAAATGTGGAAAATCTGAAAGTGGGATGTTGGAATCTGCTGGAAATGCTACAGAGGCCGCATGGCTGTGAGGCTGTGAGCAAAACCTTCTGAAGCTGGCAAGGGGAAASCATTTTATCATCCTTTGACAAAGCTGTTGGAGTTTGCTGAGGGAAGGACTTCACATGGACAGGGGGCAGGGATGGATGTGCCATGGTGACCCCATCAGTGCAGGGATCACCCCAAAACTCCTCACCATCTCTGGGATTTCAGTGAATGCTCTTTCCAAGCCATTAATCAGCTTCTTGGAAAGGCCACTGTGGGATTGGGAAACAAATGARTGTTTATTCCTGAGCATCTCCATCCAGATGGATGGGGATGTGGGGCTCAGAGCAGCTCAGCTTATGGCTTTGGTGTCTGTGCTCTGTCCAGGACCTGGAGAATGCTCAGCTGCACCTGGAGGAGGAGAGGTTCTTCGATCTGTTTGGCTACAGCGAGGAGACAGGAGCCTGGCAGTGCTTCATGTGCAACAACCCTGAGAGAGCAGCAGGTATGGGGAAAGGGGAAACCAAACCTTCCAGTGGCTGTTGTAATTGGGATTCCTAATTAAACTCATCCTCAGTGAGGGAGAGAGGGACACAACACCCAGTCCACACCCTCACTGAGCCCTGGGCACTGCAGGGCTCTGCTCACACCCTGCAGTGCCCACAGAAAGGAGCTGCATCTCCTGGACCCCACCCCAGCTCCTCTGAGCCCCCCACCAGGTGCCAAAGTCAGGGGATGTTGGCACAGAAACACCCCCATGGTGGAGGTTCATGTCTCCTTCACTCTCAGAATTATTTATTGCTTTAATGTCATTGACTCCCCAGGACACATCTCCTCAGGGACATGGAGATTAGGTCTTAGTAAGGCAAAATACTTCAGGGTGAGTGGAAAACAGGAAAAAATGTCATTTTTCCCAGGTAAAATATCCTGGTGCCCTGGTTTTGGAGCTTTGTGGTAGCCATGTGTTTCAGATCAGTGCCCTGGCAGGCAGAGGAATTTTGTTCTTAGATGCTTTCTGCCACTCTGTAAAAGTCTGACCAATCCTGGCCAAGAATTTTGACTGTTTTGGCCAAGTTTTTTGAATAATTGGCTGTTCCAGCTATTTATTGTAACAGTTTGTGTCTCTTCAGACTGCACCAAYCCCGAATTCAGTGTCTGGCAGGAGAGGCTCAGCTCTGCTGCAGCCCCTGCTCATTCCATGGGTGTTGGAGCACCTTCTCCTTCCCCAGCACCATGACAGGAATCTTGCYCTGAGGTGAAATTTCAGCTCCTCCGTGGTCTCAGTGTGGTTTCTCCACCACATCAAGCTAGGAGGAAAACGAGTCTCTCTYGCTTAAAATGTCAAAGCTTAATGGAATAGCTTTGGTCTGAATTTCCACAGGCATTTCACCAGCCCAGCCTTGCCYCACTCCTGCTCTCCTGGCTGGATCTGTCCTTTTCATGAGCAACTGCTCTCTTTGTCCAAATTTAAAGGAATTTTGGTTAGAAAGGCTCATTGTGAGTATCATGATTTGCTTCTCAGCTCCAAAGGCCTTTAGAAAACGGAGGAAATGAAGTCCTTGAATGGGTCACGTGAAAGCTGAGGAAAGGAACGTGGACGAGGGAGCTCAGTGGAATCAAAATTGGCAGGGAATGCCAACTCCACCTTTGTATTGGTGATGCAGAGCTGTGGCAGCTGGAAAGGGCAGAGTGGGAGATCCTGCAGGGTCTCTCTGGCTTTGTAAGATCTGACACAAGRAAGGATTTGGAGGGCTCTTTGGATTGGTACAGAATTTAAAGGCTGGGAAAGGAAACATCTTTTATTTTCATTYCAGAGTGGGAAAGACCCTTTGAAATCTGAAATACTTTTTAAAGACAAAAAAGCAATTTCTTCCTCTCAGCAATGCTGTTTAGCAACCGAATTCCTGTTGAGGAAGGAATTCAGAGGCAAATTCTTTTTCTATTATTGTCTGCTGGGTTTGGTTCGTGTGGGGCTTTGTTGCATTTTTTGGATGCCGTGTTGCAATTTGGCATTTATCCTTCAGAATTGGGCAAACACTGCCCTAAAGCAGTGATGGAATTGGGACAGTGGAAGGTGTCCCTGCCATGGCWGGGCTGGGATGGGATGATCTTTAAGATCCTTTYCAACCTAARCCATTCCATGATTCTKTGATCAGGGATTTTWKTTTGGATGAAGCTGGGAGGGTTTTTGGAGCCGGAGGCTGATGCTTTGTGGACAGAACCCATGGCTGATGCAGCCCCAGTGCCACTCAGAGAAAGTTGGGCTCCTTCTCTGCATTCTGACGATTCCAAAGTATGTCCTGTACAACCACACTCTTCCAGAAGTGCTGTTAAATCACCCTGAACTGGCTTTTCTGCTTTTAAATCACCCTGACCTGGCTTTTCTGCTGTTAAATCACCCTGAACTGGCTTTTCCTGCGCCTGTGGAGGAGCATTCCCACAAACCCTGCCCGTCTGCTCCCATAGGTGCCGTGGTCCTGAGGGAGCAAACCCAGCTCCCATCGTTGTGTGCTCCAATTGTGGCCATTCCAGCACAGCCATGAGGCATCTGGGATGCTGGAAAAGGCAAGGATTGCTCTGGAGGAGCCCAGAATTCAGAAAAGCATCGTTGGGAGCCTCATTCCAACGCAGCCCCCGTCCTTGGCTCCTCACACAAATATTCTGCAAAACCACGGCAGCGCATTCCCCCTCTGGGAGCTCACAAAGACATGGCAGGGAGCCCTGTGGGCTGTGCAGGAGCTGTGGGCAAGGAGCTGGGATTCAGGAAAAACTGAGGGGGTTGTGAATTCCTCTGGAAAACAGCGATTCCCTGGGGAAATCCCACACCACGTTCGCTTTGAACACATTTATCTCACCCCAGCACTGTCCAGGGAAATGAAGGAGCTGAGCTCTAATGCTCCCTGGAAAATCATAAAGAGTGGCATCAGAGATGGGCTCCTCCCAGGTTTTCAGCAAAACCTGACGTGGTGATTAATGGGAGAGAGTGAATCCATATCCCCCGAGGTTAATTGCATTTATCTGCCACACATTCCATTCTTTCATGTTCATAAGGGTTTATTATCACTGAGATCATTCATGGATTCTTGTGGAGCATTTTATGTTTCAGCAAATGCAAGATTTAATGCGTTGGGTTTTATCTGACTCAAGTTCATCTTGGAAGAGTTTGGAGGGTTTTTAACTTTTTATTCAGTACCCAAACTACTTAGAGCTGGATGTGTTGGAGTTCTGCAAAGAAAGMAAGATGGAAAACAGAATTCCAGCAGAAACATCAGCAGGGACTATTCAGGSTTAGATTTGAGTCAGTGTCTCTGTATTGAGATTGAGGAAAAAAACGATTATTTCAAGATCTTTGGATATTTCATGACCTTTTCAAACTGAAAGAGGAGAGATTTGGATGGGATATTGGGCAGGAATTGTTCCCTGGGAGGGTGGGGAGCCCAGAGCAGCTGTGGCTGCCCCTGGATCCCTTTGAGTGCCCAAGGCCAGGCTGGACATTGGGGCTGGAGCAGTCCTGGATGGGTAAATCCATCCAGGTAAAAAAAGTAGTCCAAGTAATCCATCCAAGTAAAAAATGAGCCCAGCCTGAGCCCAGGGGTGACCTTGCTCGGAACAGGAGGTTGGAGGAGGGACCCTCRAGCTCTCTTCCAGCTGAGTTATTCTGGGATGCTGTGAAACCAACCGCAAGGAAAATAAGCACRAGGACTTAGAAAAATATTGGAAAAGAGCTTCACTCTTATCTTGCATGAATCTCTCTCTGCTAATCAGCCCCTCAGACATGCTGGCATCGGGTTCATTACGGCCACTCTGGAATCTGACATCAGAATTCCCGTGGGCTCTTTGTGGGCACCAGGAGAAGCCTCTGCTAGCGTTGCTAAAGCATTGGCTCCCTGAAGAGAGACCAAACTTCTTAGCAAATCCTGCTTTTGAAAGATTTTGGCCATAAGGATTCATTTTAGGCCCAAACTGCACATTGTCTTCCTTTGTCATGTTGTGTTCCTGACCACAAACTATCTTGGTGTCATCTGACCCTGAACCTTGGTGCTTTACCCCTCTCAGTTTGGTTAAAACATGTTCCCACTGCTCTGGGATGGGATTGAAGATGCCCCTGTGGGCTCTCATCCCTCTCCTGGCTCTGAATTCCTTCTCCACAGGGCTGCTGCAATGAAGGGAACTGCTGCAGTCCGTGGAGAGTGAAAAATCCATAAAATGTTCCTGCCCCAGTGCTGCCCAGCAGGAATGGGGCTGTGCTGAGCTCAGACACAACAAAAATGCCAACTGCTGGTTCATGGATAGGAAACTGTCCCTGCAGGACTGAGGAACAGCTGGGAGGAGTTTGGGATGGCTCAGGGAAGAGGAAAAGGGATGGAAGAGGGGTTGGAGATGTCAGCTCCATGTGCTCGGCCTCCCCAGTGGGACCGGGCTGAGGGAAGAGGGAGCTGGAGATGGGAAACGAGGAAGGCAGAACAACCCTCCTGCAGCACAGAGGGGTGAGAATGAGAAAAAAAAGAATGAGAACATGCAATTAAAGCTTTTTTTGCCATTTTTGCTGTGCTGACTGAGCCCTGAGTAGGCCACGTTCTTCAGTCCCAGCAGAAAGAAATAAACTCAGAGATCACTCAAGGCTGAGTAGAAATAAAATTTGAAAATGTGTCAACCTAGCAAAATCTGTCTTTTGAAAAAAATTCTTGTCAGACGTGGAAAAATGAGGAAAAAATGCTTTTTCCTGTAAGAAGGGAGGGCAGAACTGAGCRGGCTGTGTGCTCCCCTCCCCAGTGGTGAACCAGGAGGGGCAGCCCCTGATCGAGGGCCGGCTGAAGGAGAAGCAGATCCGCTGGAAGTTCATCAAACGCTGGAAAACGCGCTACTTCACCCTGGCTGGCAACCAGCTGCTGTTCCGGAAGGGCAAATCCGTGAGTCCCAGCCCAGGCTGCACCCTCCCCACCCTGCTCCCAACACCCTGAGCCTTCACCCTACGCTCTCCTGGGCTCTTGGTGCCACCTGCAAATGGCAGGGGATGTGACACAAAGGTCCCCATCTGTCAGGGGTACAAAAACCACCCCGTGCCACCCCCTGCCATGGGCAGGGGCACCTCACACTGTGACCAAGCTGCTCCAAGCCCCGTGGCCTKGGACACTTCCAGGCAGCAGCAGTGGTGACACTTGGGAACGTGTTTTCCATAAAGGATGAGTTCATGGAATCCCACAAGGTTTGGGTTGGGTTGGGAGGGACCTTCAATCTCATCCAGTGCCACCCCGTGCCGTGGGCAGGGACACCTTCCACCGTCCCAGGGTGCTCCAAACCCTGTCCAGCCTGCTCAGGGACACTCCAAGAGCCCTCCCTGTCCGAGCTGGCACCTCCTGCCCTGCTGAGGGTCCCTGTGCTGTGTTCCAGAAGGACGACCCCGACGAGAGCCCCATCGAGCTGAGCAAGGTGCAGAGCGTCAAGGTGGTGCCGAGGAAGCGGCGGGACCGGAGCGTKCCCCGCGCCTTCGAGATCTTCACCGACAGCAGGAGCTACGTGTTCAAGGCCAGGGACGAGCACAACGCCGAGGAGTGGCTGCAGTGCCTCAGCGTGGCCGTGGCGCGGGCCCGCGAGCGCCAGAGCCG